AACAGCACACTGTAGGGACAAGGAGAAACACTGATTTCTGACTGGAAGGGACTTTAATGATTCATAGTTTAGTTTAATTTAATTTAATGTCTAAGACTGGGACAGTTCAGTGAGTGCTCTGCTTGGACTTTTATTAATGATCAAACCCCATTACAATGTGGATCACATGCACTTACAGTCTGAGGTAATGCCACTGAAACAGAATGAGTTAGGTATTGTAAAGCAGGCTCTGCTAACACTGCTAGAGGCTGTGGGAGCAGCTTTTATCATGGGTTGAAGTTGGCAGTGATGCTGACATGGTGGGCAGCTAGCAGGCTAACCACAGAGCCTGCTAATGTCTGGTCCACAGTGGCTCTGCTCAACAGGCACTGCCAGGCCGAGCTTTCACTCACCCCGACGCGAAACCTGAGGAGCGCCAGTCGGATGCAGTGGGCCATGCACACGGGAGGCAGGAACCAGACTTTGGGCGGCGGGGTGCCCTTGTTCTGGACGTGGCTGATGATCTGCTGGGCGGTCTGCCTCTCGTTCACCTGTCGCTTGACCCACTCGTGAAGACGGCCTTTCTCCAGGGCGCCATTGAAGCACACCAGGAGCTCAATGTTGCCGTTGAAGCAGGCCTTGGAGAGGGCGGCCAGGTAGCCCAGCATGTGGTTCCACTGGCCCCCGCTGACCCAGTCGGTGTAGAAGCCTCCGTAGAGCCGGTGGAGGCAATTCTCGGCGTCCACCAGCAGTCTCAGCGGAGTCTGAGGGGGTCTCAGCCGGCCACCTCCAACCATACTCCCCCGGGCCAGCTTCTGGAGCTCCACCGGCACCACAGCGCTGGGGCAGTGCTTTTCAATGTACTCTTGGAAACCTTGAACACCCATGTTGAGCGTCGGTTAGAGGAGGCGGAAACTTAAAAGTGACTGGAAAAAAGCGAAATATCGGAGGAAAAAAACCGAAGGGGGTTTCAGAGCGCCTCTCCCCCCTGACAGTGACCGGCAGCCGGCTGCTAGCTGTGGGTGTTGCAGGAGTTGGAATAATGTCGAAAGAAACGAAATAAGGCTGCTATTCAGGCACCGTCAGTTTTTGGTGAGTTGTTTTTTGGTTCATGGCTGCTAGCTGCCATGTGTCGGTTCACGGAACCATGTCTGAGGTTGTGAGTCTGTCCGGAGTGAGAGGGAGACAGAGGCGAACACATGACGGCCTGGTGACGACAACACGCACCGGCACGTACGAGGAAACCGAGAGGGTTTGCCGCTGCGTACTTCCGCATTTGCAGTAAGCCCAAACCCTTCATTAAAAACATTGTTTTGTGGGTTTAGATACTTTTTACCTCCAATTGTTATTTAAAGCTGCAGTAGGGAAGTTTTATAAAAAAGAACCTGAAACGTTTGCTATTTCCTGTCAGTAAAAAATAAGGTTCCTCTTTTCACCTATACTTATTTATCTATGTATTTATGTGCCAACAATCAGTCCGAAGTCTAGCTATCTACAGTAGGCTATGTTAAAATAAATAAATAAAGAATAATTATTGACTTATTGGAGAGGTGATAAATAGTCTAGTAAAAATACTTAATGTTGTTATTAAGTATTACCATACCTCAGTCAGATATGGCCATCTACTTAGATCATGCAGTAAGTGCAGCAGACAATGTTGTTATTATTTTTATCATTGCCTTACCTCTGTTTGTTGCAGTAGAAAGTAGAAAAAACAAAACAGTGAGTAAGATATTAATTTAATTGTTAAAAAGGTGCTTATAATGTTGACTGTAACCGGACCTCTGTCAGATATACCCTATATCTACTTAGTGAAAAAGAGAGAGACTAGCAGGAGAGTTTTGCTAATATTATTCATGTTATGAATTAAAGGACTATTAAAGGAGGTGGGATGATGGGAAAACACCTGTTATCTGCATCACTGATTTAAGTGTAACACACAACATCAACAGGGCTGAGGTTTCCGAAGGCTGGATGTGAACTATCTTGTCAAGTTTGAATCTTTGGGTTTGAGGCTTTTGTTTCCTGATTTGTGGTGGGGTCACAGTTTCATCTCCAGAGTTTTATTACCAACCAGCCAATCAGCAACACAGTGGCCTTCCCATTTGTTGTATCGAAAGAGCTGAAAGCGAATCTAATCTCAACCACACACCTAAAAATAACTGACAGTTATTGAAAAGTTCACCATACCTGAGAACCAGTGTATCAAATAGCATTACAGTGTGGTTTAACAGATTTTCAGGGTTGGCATATGAGGGCCTTCTCAACAGACTACGGCTACTTTACTCTTTATAAATGGAGTAATGTGTCTACTGCTACCTAAGAATGTGTCATTAAATGTAAGATTTTGCTGTCTACAAGTTGAGAGAAGCAGACATTTAATAGCCTACTGTTCAATAATGTGACTGATGTGAAAATATACACGTTTACATTTCATTAAATGACCAATCAGTCATGAAGTAAGTGTCCGGAGTAGTTAATCTGGATTGCTCCAGCCTCATAAACAGAGAAAACATGTGGATGATGTCATATCCCCACACTACTGCTAGAGGGCAGCATACAGTTAGGAACTGCCTGTCTGTGCAGCAGTCATTCAGTAACTGACTTCTGCATTTTTTTGCAAACTTTGTTCGGTGATCTGGTAGTAACACAGAGCAACCAGCATCAACTGAAGAAGCAGACTGAAGCCCTGATGACAAGTGCCCAACTATTGTACACCATTTGCTATTAAACAATCTGATTCCCAGACTCAGATTGTTCCCCATCGCTGCTCTTCGTAATGCACAATCACATGTCTGTGACTTTCAGAATGAGGACTGACTCACTGATAGAGTGGCTGACTTCATTCTCTTTGTACGTTGTTGTATATCATAATATAACAATGTATATAATAATATAAAGCTTCAATAATAATTCCTATCTTACAGCTCTACTATCTCTGCTTATGAGGCTTAGTTTAACCTGGTGAAGGGCACTGGGGCAAAATGAGCTGCTGGGTCCACATTGACCCCTCATCCCCTCCTTCTCTGTGCATTGTGTTCAGTATTGCTGAAATGTGCACTTCGTAGGCACAACATGGCCTCAAGATCAGGCAGTATGACGCGAGACCCACCTATTGAAACTGAATTTGTCGTCCACTAATCATAGGGTTTGCAGTTCGATTTCCTACTCCTTCTGTCCACATGTCTTTGTGTCCTTGCACGGGCAAAACCCGGAACCTCAAATTGCCCCCAGCTGGCACCGTGCATGGTAGGAAAAACCCAAGAAAAAAGAAATGTATGTGAATATTTTTAGATTTGCGTGTAAATCATAAATCCACCCACCAACATACATGTACCATTGTATTGTAATGTAATTGTATCTATTGTTTCTCATCCTACATTACTGTATTTTGACATTTAACATTTCCTTTTTTTAAGTTCCTTTCATACTTGTGCAGTCAGGATTGCAATCAATCCTCTGTCTGCTTTACTGTAGTAATGTTTAAAACTGAACCTGCGACACGGCATGTTTCAATAAAACTGTTACACCACTTCTTAATGGCAGGCCATTTCCATAATTTTATTATACTACTTATATTTTTCTCTGTATTTTTAATATTACTATTTTATCTGTACATATATTGTGTTATTGTAAGTTATTTTTATTATTGTTTTTTATTGTATTTTATGATTTTCCTACTTTTTTATTATTATTTTCGGACTTATTCATTCATATACTGTATTTCTATGCACTGTCACGCAAGTAAGGGTGGGGTTGGGAGCGGGGGCACGGTTGTAACGTTCATGCTCCTGATATTATCATCTTGTTTTTTACGCTGCACAAAACAATAAAAAGATAATAAAAAAAAATACAAATATTTATGCAATTTTGTGGCCCAAAGGCAACCATTATAGAATCTTAATTAGAGGGTCAAAATACAAACGTTTGAATGAAAAATTATTTATTTTTAACACACACCAACTTCTGGGGGTGGTCTGCCTGAATTGCAATAAATTTGGACATAAAGATTTAAAGGATTGATTACATTGTTGGACTGCCATACTGTCTTGAAGATAGAGAGTAATCATGTATCAAAGACTTTAGCTGTACACTCTGCTGTCATTGTACCTGGATTATTTTAATTTAGTCTATTTAAGAGTACCGTAAAAAAAAGAGTAGTAGACTAGTTTTCATCAGGCCAAAATGTTAAAAAGGCTTCCTATAATATTCCAAAGCTGCCATCCTGTATCGGCAGCAGGTGGGTAGTAGACAAAATTGTGTACATTAGTGGATTAAGTAAAACAGTGAAGACACCAACCTGAGGGTTCCTGTTCTGTAATGACAGACCACTGATATTTCTGCAGAGGAGGTACAGTGAAAAAAAATATAATTTCCACTGCAGTGAGTAATAACAAATCACACTATTGAACTCCAGTTATGGAGTGTTGCACTTTCATTGGGGAACTCACAAAATAGTCAAAATTGAAGAAGGAGAGGCCAATATATCATGACCTTTAGTGCAGAGTATTGGTAAAGCTCCTTAACCACTGGATCCTGCATTCCCCAACCACCCCACCAGTTTGTAATGTAGGCTTTTTATTATGGTTAACAAAGTACTCAGCTGGAACGAGGATCCAGTTCAGCTGATGTACTTTTTTTTAATAACAAGTAAAATGTCTCAATATTCATACTCGTACATATAGCAACTTTTATTTTAAAAATATGTTTTCTGTAAAACGTTGTCTTACTTTAAAAACATTGCTCTACAGCAACTTCTGATCAATTTAAGGGTTCAATTAACAATGCTTGTTAATAAGCTCCTTCCACGTCTGTTTTAAGCCCCGTCCATCACAAGTACACATACAAATTCCAAAAGTCGGAAGTCAGAGGTCAGAACTGGGAATGACATCACAGCATGTATAGCCGCATGTCGTCAT